TGGTGCTTTCACTTCCAGAGACAGTTGTAAGCACTGTGTAACTGCCTCGAGGGTGCTTGACCATTTTAACACAACGTGGTGTGATCATCCCCCTTGCGTGCCGTAGGCTGTAGGCCATTGAGGGCGGAGCGATTTTCGTCGGCCCATGCTTCATTTGAAAAGGATGAAAGGATGAATTGCTTGCGTCTGTCTTCGGAGCGTTGGCTGATTTCAGGTAGAGGAGTGTTCCTTGTCGTTCTGGACACACCGCGGCGCTCCTCCTGCTTTCGACCATAATTTCCGGGTGATGCCTTAGCTCTGTGGTGATGCTAACCGTAGTTTACAATCGATACCCTTCGCTGGGTACCGTAGGTTGCATAAGATATCGCACCCCTTGAACCGATTTTCAGATCCCGATTACCTGGCAGGAAAAGCACAGGTGATGCCGAAATGGCGGCGTTAGAATCGCTTCGTCGAGAGCTTTCCGAAAACGCACCATTTGACCTCGGCATCCTCTTCGTTGTGGAGTAATCTGGCTTCGAAGATGGGTCCAGGGGGTGTACTATTTTACGCAACCTACGTTATTCGCTTTTCTGTGAGGATGTATGACGGTGTTCGCCCATGTGTTTCGCGTGTGTGCAGGAGGAGATCCACGAGCTGGTGGACCAGGAGGCGAGGGTGGATCAGCTCATCGCCCACGTCAAGGAGCAGCTCAAGAAGCTGGTGAGATTGCGAGGAAGGGAGGGAGGAAGAAAAACGAGCGTAGTTCGTGTTTGGTTACCTCAGGTTCAGAAAATTATATGAAGAGAGAGACAAAGAGAGATAGACAAGAGAGATCGAGAGAGATTGAGACAGAGGGACAGAGACAGAGACAGAGACAGAGACAGACAGACAGGCAAATAGAGCGAGAAGGAGTGGCAGAGGCGGAGACAAAGCCGGCTGATAAGGGATGTTGGAATGTTGTGAATTCCAGGGGCAGGCGCGACAGCCAGCCGGTAGGAAGCGGTAGCCAAGAGATGGGAAGGAGGAGATGGTTTGAGCCTGTTGCTTTGAGCATGCGAAATCGGCTGTCGCGCTGTGAGTTATCCAGCAAGATATGTTGGTCGTTTACCAGAACATCAGTTTCATCTCTCTCGTTGTGCGGCGTGTCGGGATTGTTCCCCCCCCTGCTCCACTGCCGAGTGTTGGCGGTATGCTGCAGTGGGCGCTAGAGCCCGTCCGGTCTATTGTAGTACACATGCTCGGCTGCGTTTTTTCTTCTCGCGCCTTTGTAGCAGAAGGTATTGTTCGCTCCCAGCAGCTGCGCCCGTCATCCCCCCATTACCCTGACCCCACCCACCCCCTCCAACCCACCCCTTATCCTCCCGTAATTTTCATGTTTTGGCCGCACTTGTTAGCCGAACGAATCGAACAAGCCCTCTGGCGATATGTTCCTCCACCAGCAAGACATCCGCGGGTTGCCGTGCTACAAGAATAACACTGTCATGGCGATACGCGCGCCAGCGGGAACAACTCTCGAGGTGCGTTTCATCATCGGTGTTGTTGGTGTTGTCTAATTGTTGGTAGGGCCAGCTGACCACTTGTTGTCCTTACTGGTACCGGTGGTTGTTGCTGTTTGTTGTTTTCAAATTATCGATCCCTTTGATGACAACTATTTTTATACGTGCGCAGTTTGTTAAGACAGCCCCGCGCTTTTTCACGGCTGTGGTGTTCGAATTGCTCCGCCGTCCCCGCCCCCACAATGTTGCTGTGTGTACCACCAACACCACCACGCAAATCCCAACCCCCAAGGTGCCCGATCCTGACGAGGGCATGCCTCAGGGGGAGCGGCGGTACCAGATTTACCTCAAGAGCCCGTCGGGTCCGATCGATGTCTACGTCGTCAGCCAGGTGGGAACACACGCGACAACATATTGCATCCTTCATGGACACGCGATGTTGTCATCTTGGGCGTGAACTTTTGGTTTCGCGGGATCCGGATACATGCGGTCCACCATAGCCTACCTGCGAGCTACGATTGAGGGCTTCACAGGAGAGTTTGTCTGCGATAAATCTCTCAATGTATTTCGGCGAGTGTGTGTACAGTACGGCAGGGTAGTCGCCAATGGCGTGCAGATATCCAGACGCCCATCGACGGCTGTATCGCAGATTTTTGCTTCTTTGCTTGGACTCTACTGTACAACTGATTTTTTTCGTGACATGTTTTCTTGAAGGTTGGCAAGCGAATGGAGCCGGCCGTCGATAGTTGCGTCGCAGATTTCTACTTTGTTCGCCTGGACTCTCAAGCTTTATTTTGTTTTTTGACATTTTTCTCTTCCAAGGTTGACGAACGAATCGAGCCGGGCCCGGAAGACGATGACGGCGATGTGGAGGAGGAGGCAGGGGGGAATGGCGAAGTAGGCGGCGACGACGGGACACGAGCAGATAATAACCACCGCCGACACCAAACCGAAGAACAGAATCCCCATCCCCACCAAGAGAACAAGGCTCGTAAGCAAAAGCAGAACCACCGATCAGCTAGCGCGCACGACCCTTCGGGTTTCCACAGAGGTCAGGAAGACCCCCGGGCTAGACATAGTCGGTTACAAAGGCAGCAGCAGCAGCGGCAGGAGGGAATCAGGGAGCGGGGGGAGGGGGTCGATGTGGCAGGGCGGCATTCCCCCCCCGCGGGACAGCAAACGCCGGGTAGGTTAGGAGGGTCGGGAAGCACGGCAGCGGTGGCAGCGGCGGCGGCGGCGGCGGCGGCGGCGGCAGCAGCAGCGGTTGGGGGGAGCACGCCAGCTAGAGGGGGAGCGGGCGCGGAGTACCCTGCGCTCACTCAGGGAGAGCTGTCTTCCCCCCCCCCCGGAGGGTATCGAGGTCTCATGTTTCCGACAAGCGCGCGGCAGGTAATCCAAGCAGGGGGGGAAAGCTGATATAGAATGGATGGGTGGTACGGGGGTGGGGTGCATGTTGTGTTGGCTTCTTGGCTGGAGTTGGTTTGGTGCGAGAGGGGGCTCTGCGCCGATAGTCCACATGCCGACTTCTTGTTGCCTTGAAGCCGCGTGAACGACCGGCTTGCGTTGCCTGCAAGGCCAAGGCGCTTCGTCGCATGCGTGAAGCGCTGTGTCTTGCTGGTCTGCCAGGTGTGTTTTCACTCGGAGAGTTGGCTCGCCGCAGCTCGTCGAAACTTTTGCAGTTTTTTGGTCTGGGGGACACCATAGCCGTTTATGGCGGTGTATATGTCTTTCTGGTTGTTCCATGCCTTGGCCTGCCTTATCATGCACTAGTAGGACGTTTACGTAGGACAAGAAACGTCAGGACGAGCAGCATGATGTCGCTATTTTGTATTCTGCCGTCAAGCGTATTGCAGCCTTTCGAGCATGGAAGCTCCCAGTTGCCAGAACCTCCCACTCACCAGCGATTTTTTTTTTCCCGTATTCTGGAGAATGCCGTCAACAGCATCGGTGAAGAATAGCAACCACCATAGCACGAGGATGCATGGTGGAAGACTTTACAATCAACAACAGTATCGTTTGCGGTAGCACCTTTGCACTTTTGCTTCACCCTGTCCCTTAAATACTTCTCCCCGTTGACAAGTTGAAAATGCGATGGTATCCGCCCGCCCGCGCTCCGACTCGACACAATCATCTTGAATCGGCTTTCGCCCGTTGTCTGATGTGATGGTGCACGTAATCAGTCTATCCCTTTCTAACTGCATGTTTGTCCGACCTCACCCTCATGGGCAGCAGTGGTGGCGAATTAGTCAATCAGTCAACCACCCTTTCTTGTTTGTCCGACCTCGCCCTCATGGGCAGTCACCGGGGCCCGGTCTAGGCGTTGGATTGGGGCTAGGCTTGACACCGCTCATGACGAAGCTATCCCCGTGCAAGGTATGCGTGCGCATAGGTACACGTGCGTTGCTGGGTCGCGGGAGAACAAGCGCGCGCTTGGGGGGATGGAGGGGGGTGTAGTTGTGCTCGGGACGTATGCGTCGTCGACGGGCAACCTCATCGGGGTCCAGGAAGTCTTCCCCGCTGATGTCGAAATTAATTCTATTGTGCGCGTAGCGACTATGATCAAGTTTGGCCTTGCGGAGCGGGAGTCAGTGCCCGGACAGTTTCAGGACGGAGTGCAGAGTGACACCCTCCCTCGTCAAACGTGGTTCTCTGCGCGAAATATTTACTCTAGGAACAGAATATGGAATGTATTCTACACGCTGTTGCACGTATAGGTACGCTTGTTGATCGGTGTCTAGGGCCCTTGATTTGGTGGTGTTGTATGGCATTCATGTGCGCAAGTGTTTCATGGACCCCCCTTCCTGTCGTGCTTTTTTGTGCCTTACTTGCCCCTGTTTCTTCTTTCCCCACTACTGTACCCCCCCCCCCCCCCCCCCCCCCCCCNCCCCCCCCCCCCCCCCCCCGCGTGCCGCTGCTTGCTCTGTGAACCGCGTACTGCCTTGCGGATCGGATGGAATTCTTCAACCCGGTTGATGGGGCCGTTATTTCACGTCACGGTATCACGGGACGTCTGAAAATGCGATACACGGGGACCCTGGAAAAACAGCCCGAGCCCGACTTCTCGTACAATATGTTCGACCACGGCCTGACGGAGCTCTTTGTCGGGGCCGGCGGCGGCGTGCAGGCCCCCGGGGGAAGCATGCAAGGGGACGACCTGCAACAGGTGCGAGAGTGCAGGCGTCCTTTCGAAATCCATCCACCAAACATTATTTTTTTCATTCAGGTTTTCGAATAACGAGGCTGCAATTCGACCGTCACCATCAATAAACCCCCGTGTATTCCGCCTGTACGACGGATTAACTTTTTGGTTTTCGTGACTGCTGTAGTTTCCCCGTGTGGCCTGCTGGTTGACAGCAGACGACGCAGGGGGTGTACGGTATATCTTGGTGCGAGTCGCCAATGTGGTCGAAAAACTCTTTTTTGTGGTTTTCACTCCCGTCCAGGAATGTACCTGAGCTGTATCCTGGGACGCATTTCGGACGGTTTTACTGCTGTGAGGCCATCTACCCGTGTATTTCACCAGACAATATATGCACAACAGATACCACACAAACACCTGGAGGGGATATTTTTTAGGCTCAACCACCCTGAGGTACTAAATCGTAAGCACCACAAATATCTTAAACGCCAAACATATTGTCATCACCGGGTGTGTTACATTGCTTGCGGTGGTATACGCTAGACACATACTTAGTCTAAGAACCATTGCGTTGCTTTTCCCCACGGCTACCGCCCTTTGTTCAAGGTTGGTTCTCAAGCCACTCACGTGACGATCTGCGGCCGTGTGCGGTGGAATTAGTACAGCTCTCATATCACCAGCCACCAGCCCTTGCTTTTCTCCTTTTGAGCCAACGCAGGCTTTGTTCTCGTTTGAAGGGTTCGTTGTTGTGTTTCGCACGGGTGTTGGCTCGCGTCAAGGGTCGTCGAGAGGTTTTTAGGAGTTTGCCCCCCCCCGGTGTTTGGCAACGACGTTGTAAAACAAGCCGCCGCCCCCCCGCCCCCCGCCCCGGTGATTGCCATCGGGGTTGGGTTTTCGTCGCTTGGCAACGACGTTGTAAAACAAGCCGCCCCCCCCGGTGTTTGCCATCGGGATTGGGTTTTCGTCGCTTGGCAAAGACGTTGTAAAACAAGCCAATTCACTTCGTGAACTCGGCAACCAGGTTACCGTTTTTTTT